GGATATTAGGGAATAATATCTCCATAGTTCGATTTAGGCATGGGCACGAGCCGAATACTTGCTAATATTCAAAAACTTGTGGTCCGGTTTGACTTATTCAAATAACAGAAATTTTGGTTTGATACTTGACTCGTTCGAAGCAAGTACTTGCTACATTAAATACTCGCCCAAAATCCTATTACTTGCAAGTAACTTGACTCAGATTGTTACTAACCAAATTATATATTTGTTATTTAAAACTATTTAAATATTAAACTAATCTTTCTATAAATTACAAATTATTCAAACTTCAAACATTTTAAAATCACAAAACATTAAAACTCTAAAAAATAAGCATTTTAAAAATAAAATTTTGGTTCAATGCTCCTTATCATAGTATTTTTTTTTCTAGATTCTTTTTTTTTTGCCTATAAAACCATTAAAACAACATAATAATTGTAAGAATGATAATAACACATACACGTGTAAATTTGAAAATGACTTGGTTTGGTTATATGTCGTCAAATCTCAAAAACTTTAACCAATGATTATCAATTAGTATAAGCGAATATGAGATCTTTTTTTATAAATTGTATTAACGAGTATCAAACCAAGTAATATAAACAAGTATCAAGCTGAATAACGGTCCAAATAGTAAACAAAATTACTGACTTGATCTTTGGTCCGGACTTGCAAGTATTGTTATATGGTGGCTTGTTACTCGGCTTAACTGGGACAAGTACTTGCTTTTTCAAACTGAATACGAATCGAGTAGTGAATACAAGCTGAGTAACGAGTATTTATGCTTAGGTCTAGTTCGATTAGTTGTGGTGTGTAACTTGTAGTAATTAACAATTAAAATAATTTGTTGCATAGAAAAAAAAAATCTACATTCTCGAGGAAATATTTGTCTTGAAACCAAACATCGACAGTTAAAAAGTAAGATGGTAGGAGACGTATGTTTTAATGAATCTATGTAAAATTGTATAATGATTAAAATTAGTATATATAAGCAGTCTTATATTCTAGTCGTTTACCCCAATTATAATACAACAAGAAGATTAATACAAAATCATTAGAGTACATACTTTGGTTACTCTTAAATTAGGTTATATCATACGATGATATTTTGTTTGGTCTTCACCTTAATTAATTAATCAGGTAGCCACAATAGATAAACATTACTCCAGAGCAAAATATCTACGATAACATACTCCAGAACAAAAATAGAATCAATACTTAAAACTTAAGATTTGAGTATTTGACACAGAAAATATTAGTTTTATGTTTATAATGAGAAAAAATAAAACCAAATTAGAAACTTACTTGATGCATCCAAATGTGATTAGGTATAGTATTAGGAGAATTGTTTTCTCTATTGAATGAGATTAAGTCTACAATCCCGGTTAGTATAGCAAGTCTACGATTAGAGCATCCTTAACCATGACACTTTAAGAGTGTCTTAAAGTGTGAAAATGATTAAAATATAAAAAATGAGTTTAGCACTTGAAGGGGTTTATGGTTAAAGATGTTTTTAGTGTAACAAGTCTACGATCACCGTATCAACGTTAAATAATCACATGAAGAAAATGTTTTTTTATTCTTACAAAATATCATACAGCTAGTTTACCTACAAATGTCAAATTCTTTATAACCCAAACACGTTAATATCAAATAATGACCTATTTAAGGAATTAAAAAAATTTGGTTTATTGAAATAACCTCAATTTTGAGGTCAACTACAATTTTAAACCCCATTTTCTCTTTCACCTAAATGTTATCAAACCAACTATATGATTCAACTTATTTACGGAAATGCCATTATATTTGAATTTTTTTTTTCTTTTAAAATCAGACATTCAAAACACACAAACAAACACCCAAATATATCAACCTATTTACGAGAATACCATTATAATCAATATTTCCAACCACCATGAACAACCAAAATCAAGCTCTAAATGCTTCCACAACTGTTTTTTCGTGGATAAAATCTTCATTTGTGAGCTCATAACTTCTTTCTCACCCATTTCATCTCCAATTTCATCCAAAAACTATCTAAATTTGGTTTTCAAATTTTTTCTCTCATAATCTATCAATTTTCAATGGTTCTTGCATAAACGACGGCTGGGCTTCTTTGTTAACCGCCAGATTAGAAGTTTCTGATGCTTGAAATAGCTTAAAATCGAGCTCTACGGTAGAAACAGAGCTGAAAACCGTGTTTTCCGATCTGGTTCGTGATAGTAGACTGCATAAGAAGTCTGCTAGTCAACGAAAAGTTAGATTTGCAATTGACTATTTAAAAAAAATATTCAAAGCAGCCTGCTCGTGAAGTCTACTTGTTCTCCTTTGATAACAAAAAAAACACTCGTAGACTTCACATGAACTCTACTTGAAAATGGATTAGTTTTGCATTTGACCAAAACTTTGACTTTATAGAGCAGACTTCTGGTGGAGACGATGACTGTAGACTGCAGATAGAGTCTGCTCCGAGGTTATTTCTGGCATTGACCAGATTGTTGACTGTTGGAGCAGACTCCATCAGAAGTCTGCTCTGTACGGACGGGTTAGTTTGGGTTTGACTAAAATCTCAAACATTGACTAGGAAAAACATTTATCGGTAGACTTCTTATGCAGTCTGCTATTTATTCAATTAATTAGCAGACTTCAGAAGAAATCTACTAATAAATTAATTCGATATTTGGTCAAACACAAAACTAACCTTTTTTTAGAGCAGACTTCACATGGAGTCTACTCGCAAAGTCAATAATTTGGTCAATTACAAAAATAACCCGTCCTTTTTTAGCAGACTCTATCTGCAGTCTTCTCATTTCAGTAGACTTCTGATAGAGTCTACTGTATATCAACGGTTTTCCGCGTATTTAGTAGACTACAAGAGAAGTCTACTGAAAAAAGTCAAACTCTAGTCAATTGCAAAATTAACCTTTTTATTTAGCAGATTTCATAGAGAAGTCTACTGAAAAAGTCAAACTCTAGTCAAATGCAAAAGTAACCCAATAGACTTCTGATAGAGTCTGCTGGCGTTTGCTGTAATTGCAAAAATAACTCATTATGTAGACTTCAATCGGCAGTCTACTAGTAGACAGCTGACGTGAGTCTACTGTAGTAGCTTGCTTGTGAAGTCTGCAGATTTTATTTTCTTAGAAATGCATTTAAAACTTATTTATAATGAATTTTTTAGATTTTCTTGCTCCCACATGTGTGTTATCTAATGTGTTTCATTCGGTGTGAATTTGACATATTTAGGTGCAATATTTATTGTATAAATCAATTTCCTTGTTTGAGTAGTACTTAACTGTTGTTGGTAGACGTCTGACTTAAGTCTACTAGTAGACTGCATTTGTAGTCTGTATTGTAGTTTTTAATTAAAAAATTATTTTAAAATTATGTATAATGAATTTTTCAGATTTTTTTCATTTAAAATGTGTGTTAATTATTTTCTTCCTTATAGCTAAGTTTCACATCTTCTGTTATAATCTAACTAATTTTTAATGATTAGTTAGTCTTTCGCTCTTTCTAGCAGACTGCTTGTGAAGTCTGTAGTTTTAATTTTCTTAGAAATGCATTCATAACTTATTTATAATGAATTTTTTAGATTTTTTTGATCCCACGTGTGTTATCTAATATGTTTTTTCTGTGTGAATTTGACATATTTAGGTGCAATATTTATTGTATAAATCAATTTTCTTGTTTGAGTAGTATTTAGCTTTTGTTGATAATCTTAAATGAGGGAGACTGTTCTTTTTGAGTGATGATTGCACCCATTGTGATCTTCTTGAGATGGCAAAAGATGAATATAATCTGGAAGTAGGTGACGCCTTAAGGGTTTAAGGCTTGACAAAAGCTTTCGATTTTTAAAATTTTGGCTCTGAAACCATTATTTTTAATACTTTTGATTTTTTATAACTTAATAATTTTAAAGTATGTTTAGAATTTAAACAAATTATTGGTTTAAACTTGTAAATGTATTTATTTTAAAGAATATTGATACAAGATTTTGGAATTAAAACTTTTAAAGAGATTACAAAATAAGATTTAAAAACTTTGAAAAGATTGCAAATAAATTCTTTAGGGTGAGAAAGTAGAGAGATGTTGTAAAATTGCTCGTGTCCTGCTTCTGAATCCGAGAGTGGGTATTTATAGGAGAGCAGGCGAATCTTGAATTATTGCTTCAACGACTTTTGCGTGTTCATTTTATTTCGTACTTTCTTCTAATTGGTGCCGACGTTGCCGACAGTCTGAAGTAGGTCTTGAGGTGGGTCCCGCCTATCGGGTGTCATTGTCTTCTAGAAAGTTGATATATTATTTTAGAGTACATCTTGTTCAGATATACTCTGTATTTTATTTTAACTTAACCGGTTTATCCGGTATTCTTAATATAATAAGTTTTTAAAATAATATACAGAGTTTACCAGAATATACATTATTTGAGAAATAAAAATTTTACTACTATATAGAATATTATCCAAGACATACTGCACCAGACTTATTGTTTGAAGAACACCATAAATATTCTCATCGGTTTAATAGACTTCGTTTTTCCGGTTAGGTTAATAATTTTGGTTTAGTAGACTACGAAACCCTAAACTCTAAGTAGACTTCATCTGAAGTCTACAAATTAGTACATACTTCAAATGAAATCTGCTACTC